CGGTTAAATATCGTTATCGACGTCTTCGACTCCATGCATATAACAGGGGGCCTCATGCATAAAAAGTGAGCTTAAGCTCCGGCTCAATTTCAGTACAAATTCTAGAGCTTGAGCTCACCCTTTCAGTGCAAAAACTGAGTCTGAGCTTAGGCTCACTTTTTATGCATAAGGCACAGGGAGTCGTTAACGTGGATAACTATGTTTATCTGGAGATTAGCGTTAATCAAACATTGAGTAACCGGCCCTTATACATAGATAATGCACTGTCCCTTAGTGAGAGAGTGGTGCACCCGCATGCCATAGATCTCTGAATGAGATGGCCGAGCTTTATATAAATTAACTCATATGGGCGCATGGGCAACGGGGTATTGAGGATAATTGCAAAATGCCACCCTTAAACAGCTCCTTGAACGGTGGAATAGGACTTTGTCCTGTTAAATCTTCAGCACTACCTATCTGGCCTGTATCAGGAAATGCACATCGTTGCTCTGTGAAAAGAAAATACACTTCTTTTATATAAGGACTATGGGTCACTACATGATTGTCTTACACGCTATGACACAGCGTATTATTATCCTAGTTGTAAGAAATTTCGGAAGAGAATATGTATAATAACTTTTTCGATTGCTCGGCTTTTAGTTGAATAAAATAACGCAGGCTTGGCAAACCATTCTTCCAAGATCTTGCAGTGGTCTCGCAATTGGAAATAAGAGCTTTAGTAAAGTTCAACAAATTTGTTTGGTTCCGAGTAAGCTTCTGAACTTAAAAAATACTTGTCTTACCTGGCATGAAAGTCACATGAATGGTGCGTTTCAACGCCACCACGCCCTTCTTTTTTAACGCGCGTAAAGCAGCCAAATATTGCATGCCAATAGATTTCATATCCTGTGAACCACGTGCAAATATGCGACCTTCCTCATCGATCTCAGCAGCAAAAGGTGGATGTGTCCATTTTTCTGGATAAACCGGCACTACATCCATATGTGAATTTAACATTATCGATGGTAGCTGCGGCTGTTGCCCCAACCATGTTATGACCACAATCGGTTTTGTAGGACCGCCAGGATGATAAACCTTTAAGGGTAGATTTAGGTCTTTTGATTGCTTCTTCAGGAATTCCACGCATGGCGCTTTAATTTAATTTAAATACACAATTTATTGCGAAAAATATTTGAATAAAAATATATAAATGAAAAAAAAAACGTACTGTAATCAATATCCGGATGGACACTGGGAATACGCAAGTATTCCTGCAATAATTGTATTTCCTTATTTTTCTCCCATTCACTCATGATGTATTCAGAAGTTATCACTAGATATACTTATTTTTCTGTGGTAGCTGTGCAACTTTTCGATGCACGCGCGAAGTTAGGGCTCGTATAGCAGATTTTTTTTTGTGCTCACACTTTATATAGTAAAGGCATAAATGTTATCAGTAATTTAGCTTTATTATTTTTTATCACTCGTATACCTCCACGGGACTTCTGCTACAATAAGAAATACACAATACTTTTTTTATTGACCATTAAAATGATAATTTAAATTTATTTAATTTCATTGTGTCTTTGTTTTTGCTATCATATCATTTACGTACATACAGTGGCGTGCAGCTAATCACTAACGAAGTACCGCTATAGATAAAATACTAAGTTTGTTGGTTGGTTACTGCAAGTACTTTCCGTGTTGCCATTCGGGTATCAACAGAGCATGGTAGCGTCAATTTGTTTAATTTCTCGTAGGCAATGCTATTTCATTTTACCATAGACAACCTGTCAACATTCGTGTCCAGTTTGGCCTAACCATTTTGGGCCGCTTATAAATTTCTACATGTCGCTTATTGAGGCACTATCTAAGTGCGTTAGCCGTTTAATTATGTACATATTTTTCAAAACCGCATATCTTATCTGGGTCAGACTTAGGCATTCGCACATTCAAGATGAATACTATTTCGACGGCTGTGTGGAAGATCGACCTTTCTCGGCAGCCAATTCGAAAACGCCCTATCTCAGAAAATTTTAAAAGAAGGCCCTATTTCAGAATTTGGTCTCAATGTAAATTTAATATATAAGGGTCACTTCTATTCTTGGCCTAAATAAATACCCGATCCGTTCTTATTTTTTTCTATAGTCAGGTCATAATTCACGTATGTATTTATTATGTCATAAATATGGACATCTTACCATCTCTTCCTTGTTTGTGTATGAAAATGTTCATTATAGCTCCATATTACATTCGTTGAATAGCCAATTTTTTTCTTATAACGCTAGTTTTCAGTACTATATACATATGTGCATTAGAGTGCCTCGCCCAAAAATTGCGGTTTTTCTAACGGAATTATAAAATTTATTATATTGCAAGAATTCCGCCAAAATATATCGAAAAAATATTTAGATTTACGTTAGCTGCGCCGATTAGAAAATACCTCTAAAAACTCATTCTTTTGATTCTGTCGATAAATTTTTAAATATGGTTATGCAAACCCTATAGGCTACATTTTTTTTATCATCTGAAATGATTTTTTGGAAAAAGTTATTTTGAAAGCTAACTTCATTCATTAAAAAATCGATATATTGAGGTATTTTCAACCCCGTCTAGCTCACGTAAATCTTAATATATTTGCGAAGTATATACTGGCAGAAGTCTCAAAAAAAATAAAATGAATTTCATAATTCGGATGGAAAAACTGTACCGATTTTTTTTTGTATGGAGAGTGATGCACCCTAATGTATATTTATACTAGGCTGTGTCAAATAAACCTACTTATTTTTTTCTTTCGGTTCCATATGTAAATTTCGTTGTCGGTCACAAAATAAAATTTCAGTCTCCTATCTTCATTTTTCAGTTAGCGCTCGCAAATACATGTTATGGAGTCGATCACATCGATAACGATGTTTAACCCACAGTTAGTGTTAATTAGACATTGAGTAACCGGCCTTTAGTATACTGACATTATATTGTATTTCCAAATTGGAGAATCTTTTTCCAAACAATAATATTTCAGTTTCACCAGAGCTCACGCTAAGATCACTGCATGTAGTCAGAAATTGTTTTTTCCAAGTGAAAACCGCTCGCATCAATTTAAGCAACTCTCAGCTATTATGAATATAATTTTTCTATTGACTGGCCACGAGGATAGATTTTCTTGCAGGATAATGACCGATCACGTTACCAATAAATACATACATACATACTATGTTTAGTTATAAACAGAGAACGGATTTTATGGAAATTGCCTTTTTTTCTGCTAAAGAGATAGAGTATATTCGATTAAGAATGTCCACGAGTTAGCTTTCCCTGATTCCATATATACACATTTGATGTTGCCTTTTTTAGATATTTGCCTTTTTTTTTGCCTTTTTTAAGTTAAATGCCTTTTTTTGCCTTTTCTACCTTTAAAAAAGTGATTATAGTATTTAAAATTTTTTTTAAGATTAAAAAATATACACATGCCCATGCGGCTTATAGAAGCGCAGGGACCTCTTGCCAAATTGGTGTTGGAAAAATTCAAAGCCGTTTTCTCAGCTAACGTAGGCTCGGAGACAATAAGGGGTGTGGATAAAATTGTAAAGGGCGAGGAAAACGCCCTTATTTCTGATAATGTGCACGTTTCAAACGTTCCATATTTAAATTGGGCTCCACTTGTATCAACTTACGTCGAGCGCACATTTAGTACATTCAAGGCTTTTCTTCGCGAAAATCGAATGAAAATGCTGCCAGAAAACTTCAAAATGCATCTTGTGGTTCAAAGTTACTACAACTATACAGATTAAAGTTTTATGAGTTAGAAACTCGAAAGGATAAAATAGTCAAAGATTCAAAGCACAAATTTTTCATATAATGAAACTAGTTCATAGTTTTTCTCTTTTTACTTGTAATATAAACATTTCTGAAATAAATGTATTTTATGATTGTTCTACGTATTTTCTGTCTTTTTTAGTGCCTTATTTTGCTTTTTTTGCAATACCTAGTGCCTTTTCCTGCCTTTTTCGCTATTTTGTTTTGCCTTTTTTCGCCTTTTTTGCAATACCTAGTGCCTTTTCCTGCCTTTTTCGCTATTTTATTTTGCCTTTTCCAGCCTATTTCGTTATTTTATTTTGCCTTTTTTATAGGTTTTTAGGTCATAAAAATCCGTTCCCTGGTTATAAAGTTCAACTCAAATCCTCTGACAACTAACTTAAAGCACGAGCCGTCTGTATTTGGCTCGGCGTCGATGTTAATTATTTGCACGTAACTGTATATGTACGTTTAAATAAGGCCATTGATACGCTATGCGATTATATCGCTGCTGTGAAAGGGGCACGTTGTTAGTGTACCGCATTCCGTGAAAGCGTCAAGCAAAACTTTTAGAAAGATATTGCTAGCTATTCGCTCTTGAAGGTGTAGGCAGTGAATCGTCATCGCCGGATTCGTTCATTATTTTCCCAACGTGAATCGACAGTAAAATTTCGGAAACTATTTCAGAATTACCACTGCCGTTACAATTGAACCGCATAGACAGACCGGCCATGCGATCTATTTGGTAGATGCGGTAAAGCGGTAAAAACGTTTTTGTCTCATAATTGGTTGTCATCCCAGAAAACCGGATAGCTTTTACTGCAGCGTCGTAAACGCAGTCGTATAACACCGCCCTAAGTAGTTTGCCTTTTGTTATATTTGTGATTGATTGCCATAATAAAACAAATACGAGAGAGGAAGCTTTTAATCGCTGGTTCTTTGAGATAAAATATTAAATTAACTGTAATATAAATAAATATATAAGTTAATGTCAACAAAATTCCCACGCGCAGCTCGTATTCTGCTAACGATATGTGCGCTACTTTTGGGCATCATATTGCTCAAAAGCATTGGTCGTGAGAACAGAGCAACACAACAGATCAACGCACGTGCACGACTAGGTATGTATGTGGGAAAAACATCGATGCATAAAAAAATCTATGTTGTATTTAGATGCATCGAACATTTTCCACTCGATGTATAAATAGTCGAAGTATCGATGCATCGATGATTTTTGCAAACTGACATCTCTGGTACATTGAGCCGCCTTTTAATTTCTTCGATTGTGGAAAAAAGATAAGTGACTTTAACCAAATAATTGAAATGGCTCCAAAGAGTTCCGTTGGAAACATATTTAGCTCAGTTACAGTAATTAATTTCAATTCTTGTACAATTTAATGCAAATTGATGTATGCCCTTCGATATATCGAAAAAATATCGATGTACATTTCACTGACATTCCTAGCAACGACTCGCCGGCAAGCTTAGCTTAGACATTATGGCCCGTAGCGATAGTTGAATTAAAGTCGGCTCTAAATAAGTGAAAGAATACTTTAATTTAAAGTACACTTTACCTCAGCCATAGTCGAGTTAGAGCCTGCTTTTTCGCTTAGAGTCGGTTTAAAGTTAGAGCAACGAAAAGCTGTTACTAAACCATTTGGAAAACTCAAAGGTTGGGTTTTTTAGTGAAATTTGAATTTAGTGATAATATAAAAAATGATTCTAACATCCTTGACGATGCCACATTACTAAGGGGTCTAAAAACTTATTAAAACAGAGTAAATCCGTTTGAATTAGACGACAGTGGTTCTTATTTTCGGTATCGGCTCGATGAAGATACTGTGAGAATAATTATAATTATAATAATTATTCAAGCTTTCACGGGATCGGTGAGCACACAACTTCTCTGTAATTGTAGATTCCTAGGAAGAAATTACCATCAAAGTGACATTTAAATTTTTTAAATAGGGGAATTCGCTCTTCTGTGCATTCGTTGTATTTTGTGTAATTCTAACTGCATGAGCGTGTGATTTGTTGTTGCTAGCGGTAGATCAAATACACATGCAACAACAACCACTCGCTCGTCCATTTACACTTACGAAGGATACAGCAAATACACAGAAGCGCGAATTCCACTAATATATTACTGCATTATTTATACCAATTCTGCAGTCGGATTCCAACATTCGCTACAGCTTTTTTTGATCGCCAAAATTTTACAAAAATATAGTAGGCGCGCCAACATCTAGTTACATTCCCCTCATACTGCCAGCTTTGGCTGACTACTCATTGCATATGTTACTTTTGCATGTGGTATACTTTTAGGCCCAATTGACTGGAAATTTTGGAAGGATAATATAGGAAATATCCAAAAGGATTGCAATGTTGCTGCCGCACTTTGTTCGATTCCGAAGCAGAAATGAACTGAGTGGGTTAAAATATAAATTTTACCGATTATGTCGCTCGGTTACCTACCGTGATGGGAACCGTCGACTAAGCCTACGTGCTAATTAAATGTCCTTCAAAAAGGTGTGGGCCCAAGTCTGGCAGGTAATTTTCGGAATAGAGAGGGTATACTATGTATTATTTAAAGGTTCAGGCAACTAACAAAAAAGACGCCATAATGCTATAAGAAAATGCAACAATACCGAAAATGCAACAATTTCGTAGACTGTTTATGAAGCAGTTTATAAGATTCTTGGCATCGTTGCAAAGTCACGGTGCTCCAGACAAGACGTTCGAATTTGGGACAACTACCAGCTAAAAGCTCTTTTGTTAGAAATCTGAACAGAACGTTGAACTAGTCGTAGATGCAGGTTAGCCTACTTAATCTATACTTTTGACTCCAGTTAGAAATCCGTCGAAAAGAAAAGAGAAAATGTAGAAATTATAAAAAATGATTTCTGAAATATTTAATTTCCTAATACATAATTCATAACTAGGATCCACTAGTCTACAAGGGTATATAAACTTTGTTCGCATAACGGTTCTTTGTAATATTCTATAGGAATCAAGGTAGACATTTGTCGTAAATAGTTATTTATAACAAAAGTAACGGTTTAAACGACTAATAAAATCGAGAAAATCAGGAAATTTTTAGTGCGACTCGCATAAAATCTACTTTTTATTAAGGTATAACTTCTTCAGCGGTCTGGCCTAAAACTCGCGGTTTTCAGACGTTCATTTGTAGGTTATGGATAATATAAAGACAGGTATTAAACAAATGTGCCAGTTACCAAATGCGAGAAAAAATGATGCTCACAACTGTAACTGAATTTCGTTTATTTTTTAAAAATCGTGGATTGTGATAGTCGTTGAACGGTACTTATATTACATCTGTGGGTTTAAAATATACTTCTTCATAAGAAGAATCCTAGGTTAAAGGACAACGTGCTATTTAACATTTCTGAAAAATCGTCTTGAGAAAACGCGTAACCAGTGCGTAACTTTTTACTTAACTATTAGTTTGTCGTTCAGCACAACCAATCAAAGGCAGAAAAATATATACATACATATGTCCTGGTGTAATATTTTGTGTTTGTGTATTTTGGTGTGTGTAAAAAATGCTCACCTCTAAAAATTATTTTAATGGTCAGTACTGAATAATCCTTACTAATATAAATGCAAATCGTCGTTTAAAGTACAAATCCGATACTACTCCTTATATATATATGTATATATATATAGATATACTCCTGGAAAAAATTTGGGTTTTTGGAAAAGGGCCCGTGGCACCTCCCATTCAAACTGAATCTTGTATACCACCACCTGTTAAAAAATTTGCATCAATTCAAAGTATTTGATAAGTTAAATGAATGATTCAATATGGATTTCGATCGAGTCGTTGTATCCCAGAAATGGTGATTCATGGGAACAAAAGTGGCATAACGGTTTTTAGAGATAATTGCATGATCTACAATTTTATCTAACCTACTTTTATAATAAGCCTTACCGTTTAGCTGAAAAATGGTAAAAATCAATTTATGTAATTTTTGACCTTGAATTTATTTTTTTTTTTACAGATCTGGGATCCATGCGGACTTTTCACATTTCAGTTATAGTGGTGCTCGTAACATTCGTACAAATTTTCAGCTTTCTGCGAATTATATAGCAACCTTGAAAACTAAATTGACCGGGCTAATGGAAAATAATTTTAAGGATATGGTTTAAATAGAGTGGCAATTAAAAAATATTAGTTACACGGGTTATAATGTACTTCACTTAGGTAGGAAAGTGATAAATTATGGAAAAAATTGTGATACGATTGAAAAAAAAAATACAAAATTAAAAAAAATCGCCATATCAAAAGATTTCACCATATGCATACAAATGGGTTTTTCCCAAAAAAGGTAAACCGAAAATGCAAGTAAATGAATTCAAACGGCTTTAACTTTAACTTTAAATTTCGTATTCAGATGGCGAAAAGAGGTTTTGAAAACGGGAAACGGTGGAGAGAAGAACTGAAAAAATTAAATAAGTAATTAAATTTAGTATGTCTTACTAGTAACAATATTGTGTGGGGGAAAAATCTGTCACGTCCGATATGTCACGTCCTTTACCATATTTTAATACAAAATTAAATCTACAACGAATTGCTCTGATTAAAATTAAATTGGTTGTAACGGTCCATAATTTGACTTTAAAGAATGTTTAATAAAGGAAAAACTGAGTTTTGCTTATTTTTACATGAACTCTCAAATCACCCTCCTTTTCATCGATTTTCTCGACGTCAGTTTTGCATGCGCACCTAATTTTTTGTCCACCAAAGGACGGTATTATTTAACTCTAAAGTCGTATGAATGTCGCGTCCGTAACCCAGGATATGCCCGTATGTATGTATATACCAAAATGCTCAGAATGAAACAAAATTCGATTAACTCATGTCTGCATATCCGTCCGTTATGATTACTCGAGTAAAATATGAGAAATATCAACGAACATAATCTGCTCTGGATCCAAATTGTTAAAAGTTGGAATGTGAAATTGGATTTTGACATAAAATAAGACATTTATGAAATTTCTGGAAAATGTGCGTCACACCGCCCACTTTTAATGAAGTGCTGTACATCAGTAGCCGCTTTACCTAACCCCACCAAACTCAATGGGCACGTTCAGAAGGCGCAACAGCTCAGTAACTGTTGCGATTGCACCTTCTGAACGCGTTGTTTTGCACTTCTGATCAACTGAACAGTTGCGTATTAAATGATCGTAATATTTTTATGATCATTTGAGACAACGTGTTGTGTGTTTTGAATTTGACAGCTAATGTATCAAGCCGTTCAGAAGGCGCATTATGATCACTGATTTTTTTAGCAACGGTTGCGCTCAACTTCTGCGCCTTCTGAACCTACCCAATATTAACATTACTTAGAGCCGCACTTAGAAACCCGTCCATATACTACTCAAGGTAGTTTACTCAAAATGTATGTTAGGAGTAATTCCTTGGCAAGAAATACGATTACAAAAAATTTTACATATCGCACACCGTCTTCAAAAGAGTCACAACTATACGTTCGTCAGCAAATGCGAAAAACCATTTCGTAGCATATGCTAACAGTGATCGGACTTGAAAAAATTTGTGTGGTAGAATGTGGAAAAAATGAGATAGATTTCAAAAAAATTTGGCAGATCTTAGGTTTTGGATCACGCTTTGTACAAACATTAAAAAAAATTGGCAAGGTTTCACCTAAATTGCAAACATTTTAATTAGAATACAAAAAAAAATGTATTTTAGTATGATAAAGTTCAAGATTTGAAGTTGCTAAAAATTGCGTTGAGTTTTGGCAAATTTTTTCCTTGACAGTGTAAAGCAGTTCCTTCAATATCAAGATACTTTTCGAACATATTTTGAGAGATTTCTGTAACCTTGCGGAGTGCTGCCGCTGCCAGCTTTCTCTTTATTACATCGCGATGTTGCGAACAAATGTGGCACGTTCCAGCCGCTACTTGAGATTTGTCAAAATCGGCAAAAAAGTAAACAACGCCTTAGAAACTTTAGATGCACTGAAATTTGCTAATACTTTCACAAAAATCGCCGTTTTTTAACATTTTCGCTATTAATTCTTTTTATAAATCTTATATTTTGAAATTTAACATAATAAAACCACGCTTCCTGTTGCAAAAATAAAACTACTCAAAAACGCGAATATGGGTAGATGTGGTAAATGCTCAAAAAAGTGCCAGATCTACCACGATGTGGTAGAAGTCCGATCACTGCATGCTAATCATCTGGGCAAAGGCGACTTTACCTTAGGTTTTTAAACAAATTATAACAAAAATTTCCTCCAGCTTTTGCTGAAAGGTAAATAAAAGCTCTGTGTACATTTTTAGCACATAATTTAAAAAATATAAAATTTTGAGTTGTGACTCTTTTGAAGACTGTGTGCGTTTTATCACTTTTTGCCAAACCCGGTATAACGATTGTACTGTACACAAGAAGTAATATGTTGAAAATGTTTGAAATCGGACTTGAACTACGCTCACTTATCATATAACGGTAAATTTCAAAAATACGAAAACTTTGATGTTTCGAAATTTAAGCACGCTTATTTACTCAAAGTTGATACTCACAATAATTTTTTTAATATACCACGCTTTTATAAATGGACTACAAATTAGAAAATAATATTTCTCAGTCCAATAGAATTTGTTTTCATAACTTTTGATTTTGAAAATTTTGCAGAAGACATTACAAACAATTTATGAGATTGAAAACGAAAAACGTGGAGCGCATGCAATAGAAAGATTTAGATTTAGATTTAATTTACAATAGTCAAACTACATAAAATAGACCTAAAATTTCTACATACACATACATACATATATTACTCTAATTCAGGTCTATTACATGCGCCCACGCTTTTTATTTTCATTCTCATAAATTGTTTATAATGGCGTTTGCTGAAATTTCAAAATCAAAAGTTATCAAAACCAATTCTACGGGACAGAGAAATATTACCTCGCTCATGAAAAGTTCTTCTTCGATTTGCATTGCAAATCCTGTTGAAAACTAAAAAACTCACAAGTTTTCAAACTTTGTATGAATCGTGTTAATTCGCTCTTTAGCAGTGTGATTGTGAAGTTCGAAAGAATAAGTAACATATACACGTGCGCGAAGCTGCTGCGCCCAGCCAGCAAAAACTCAAAAATTAATCCAAAAAGGGGAATAAAAGTGGATGAAACGCGGATTAGCTCTACGAAAGTACCGAAAATGATTGTGAAAGGGGTACGTTTGCAGCAATTTTTCTGTAAATTTTCTGATTCCATTTTTTTGTGGAACTATGCTTAAGAGCGAAATGAGCTGCTGAAGGTAATTTTAATAAAAATCAAAATTTTTTGATTTTCTGGCTGCCATGTTGAAGTTTGATCAAACCGTTGTGTTGTGTATGGAAAGTTTAAAGAATTTGCCCGCACCACTCTAGCCACTAGCGGCACTCCAGGCATACGCTTGCGGCAACCCAGGGTGCCGCGGCACCCACTAGAGTCTTCTAATTTTATGTCTTTGATATGATATCTACGACGAGGTTGATAACGGGTGATTTTTTTGAGGTTAGGATTTTCATGCATTAGTATTTGACAGATCACGTGGGATTTCAGACATGGTGTCAAAGAGAAAGATGCTCAGTATGCTTTGACATTTCATCATGAATAGACTTACTAACGAGCAACGCTTGCAAATCATTGAATTTTATTACCAAAATCAGTGTTCGGTTCGAAATGTGTTTCGCGCTTTTTTATCGACAAATTTTGTTCAGCGATGAGGCTCATTTCTGGTTGAATGGCTTCGTAAATAAGCAAAATTGCCGCATTTGGAGTGAAGAGCAACCAGAAGCCGTTCAAGAACTGCCCATGCATCCCGAAAAATGCACTGTTTGGTGTGGTTTGTACGCTGGTGGAATCATTGGACCGTATTTTTTCAAAGATGCTGTTGGACGCAACGTTACGGTGAATGGCGATCGCTATCGTTCGATGCTAACAAACTTTTTGTTGCCAAAAATGGAAGAACTGAACTTGGTTGACATGTGGTTTCAACAAGATGGCGCTACATGCCACACAGCTCGCGATTCTATGGCCATTTTGAGGGAAAACTTCGGAGAACAATTCATCTCAAGAAATGGACCGGTAAGTTGGCCACCAAGATCATGCGATTTGACGCCTTTAGACTATTTTTTGTGGGGCTACGTCAAGTCTAAAGTCTACAGAAATAAGCCAGCAACTATTCCAGCTTTGGAAGACAACATTTCCGAAGAAATTCGGGCTATTCCGGCCGAAATGCTCGAAAAAGTTGCCCAAAATTGGACTTTCCGAATGGACCACCTAAGACGCAGCCGCGGTCAACATTTAAATGAAATTATCTTCAAAAAGTAAATGTCATGGACCAATCTAACGTTTCAAATAAAGAACCGATGAGATTTTGCAAATTTTATGCGTTTTTTTTAAAAAAAAAGGTATCAAGCTCTTAAAAAATCACCCGTTATATAGACTAGGTTGCTATAAATACCTTTGCTATATTTATAGTATAAATGGTGGTCTGGACATACAACATTACAAGTTGATAAAAGCGTTGTAAAAAGAAAGTAAAGGGGTCCAAAAAAGTCAAATTTTTGTATGCGGTAACATAAAGCGCCACAAGGCACCGCGCAAAAGGCTTGCGCACGTTTTTCACTTAACTTAACTTGATCTAATAACTAGCAATAAATTTTGTGTGGGCTTCTAAATCAACATCAGTTTTAAATATTCTTTAAAATTTTGTTAAAATATTTATTTATTATTTTAGTAATTTCAATAGAATTTTCTGTGGGTTTTATAATATTGCTCGTTATAGGTTAATTTTATGCATTTCCAATAGCCGATATAATTTTCTTATAAATTACAATGCCTTTTAAATAAACGTCAGCTTGTAAAAATTCATCGTGATCATGCAGCAACACTGGCGTATTGTTTATGGGAGAAAATCCAATTGCTGGTATACCTGCGTCCCGAATATAAATAGCATCGGTGCCAGCGGGAAAAACAAGTGGTTGGATTTTAAGATTGCTGCATAAATTCAAAATGAGATTCAAAAGTTATGAAATAGAATTTTAGTAGAACAAAATAATTAAGAACATACAGCTCCGTTGTAGCTTTTTCAAAAGCCACCCAAAATAAATTCGAACTATCTATTTTTGTTGCTTCGACTTTTGCCTCCTTTTGCTCATATTGAATTTCTATACCGCCACCAGCTTCTACACACCACGCTCTTAGCTGAAAAAATAATTGCTTTTTTATACTTAACGAATTATGTTAGAAGAAAGAAATTCGGGGATGTGCTAACGTCGATGTCTGCCAAAAACCGATGTTTCCGATGTTTTAATCATAAAAATGTCGATGTAATCAAGTAAAAATAAAAAGTTTACAAAACCCATTGGATTAACGATTAATGATTAAAATTAATTAAATTAAAATTTAGTCATTAATCGTACAATTGATTACGATTAATTAATTTTTATCGTCAGTCGCGATTAACATTTTCATCGTTAATTTTTAATCGTTAATCAGATTAACATTTTGGCAATTCTGGGATGTACATTAAAGTGGTCCAAAAATGTATGTAAAAAAATAAGGTCGGATTTTTAAAGCCGCCACCCCCTAGGATTGTTATATACCGAAAAAAATATACCCATATTTTTTATTTTGAAATAAAAAATAATTTAGGTAGTGCTCAAAGCGCTCAAAGTTTTCCATGTATTTTATATGGAGATAAAACAACTTTTCGTAGAAATAGTGTAGAATTCTTGAGAATAAATTTTTTTGGACCACTCTAATGTACATATACATATTTTTGAAATTACCTGCCTATCGAAGTTGTCGTGATCTACATTCAACGCCAAACGCATGTCAAAAACCACTTCCAGCGTAGATGGTACAACATTACTTTGCACACCGCCTTTAATAACCGTTAAATTCACGGTTGTCACATCACCAAGCCGTAGAGATGGATCATTCTCCAAACGATCAATTTCATTCTGCCTGAATTCCATTAATTTGTTTAGAATATTTTGGAGCTTTTGACCTACAGTATTCTTATGCAACAAAGAGCCATGCCCGGATGTTCCACTTATTAAAAAGTGAACGTCTAAAATACAAATTTAAAAAATTAAACCTACAGAACTATAAAGTTATTCAACACTTAAGACATGACTCCGAATAAGCATCTGCTGAATTGTTAAATAATAATAAAACAAAACTCACGCCAAAGGCTTCTTTCGGCATAGAAAACTGAAAAAGTCTCATTAGCAGATGCAATGCCTTCGTCGAGACAAAAACCAACATTTAATTTTTTAAATTCTGCAGACTTCAAAAATGCTTTCATTCCCATTTCGCCGCTAATTTCCTCGTCTGTAAAAGAATAAAACAATTTTGGCTTATTTCTTCTTCAAAGTCTCTACGTTTCTTTGAGGTTATATTTTTACAGACCCGGTATAAAGGTTACATGTATGGTACGTTTTAAGGTGACACCGTCTTTTCGTAGCCTTCGTATCGCTGCCAAATACTGCATGCCCACACATTTCATGTCCTGTGCACCTCGCGCGAAAATTCGTCCGTCGTTGTCGATATCAGCAGCAAATGGTGGATGGGTCCACTTTTCCGAATATACTGGTACTACATCCATATGAGAATTCAGCATAATTGTTGGTTGTTCCGGTTGCTCTCCCACCCATGTTATAACAACAGCTGGTTTGCTGGGACTACCGGGCTGATAAACCTCAATGGGTAACTCTAGGTCGGCAGCTTGTTTTCTCAGAAATTCTACGACGGGTGCTACAAATATAGATGTGCGTGTATGCACTTATGTATGTATGTTCATTTGTATATAAAGAATTTAGGAATTGGTTTTTGTCGATCTGAGAATCCTTTGAATTAGTAGCAAATATGTATTAATGTTTGTTTTTAGGGTGTCAGGTATGAAAATGATAGTACCATGTCGCCGCCCTCGGCCCTGAAGCTAGAAACCGGGTTTTTAAACTTTTAAGATGATGGAACCCTTATTATTATTATTATTATTACGTCGGGTTTAATTGTGCTGCGACCTAAAAGATCTATTGTGCTAAACCCTAATTGTATTCACTCCGACCTTAGACTATGTAGAAAATTAAGCACATTTGAGGGTGCCGTGTTCCAATTCTTGGATGGAGAAGATAATCGTTCCCCAAGGTGTATCAGTCTGCGATTCATGATACGCGGGCAGTCACACAGAATGTGCTCTGAGGTTTCCTCCGCCAGCCCACAGATCCTGCAGTCCGTCTCTACATAAAGCCCCATTTTGTTCAGATGGTACCTTAACTTGTAGTGTCCTGTCAGGTAGCTTGTTAGAGTTCTAGGAGTTATCAGTTTTTGTGATTTTCTCATTCCCTTTGACATACGCCAGTCGGGAGCAATCAGAGATTCCTCCAAACTCCTGAGCAGTTCTGCAGCGTATCCTCTAGATGTACCGCAGAAAGGCTCGGGATCATACATGCGCATTTGGGCTCCAGGTTTTGCCAGATAGTCAGCCCTTTCGTTGCCAACCACAGCGTAACTATATTATGGGCTCCTAGGCTGTTCAGAAGAGTTTTACAACAGTCCACACGCCTTGATGTCGTTCTAAATGAGTCTAAGGCCCTTGGTGCTGACTGACTATCGGACACAACACAGGCTTCGATTACGAAGATTTTCGCCTAGAATATGATAGGGTATGAGCCTTTAAACCTTGGTTCAAGCACGCTTGCCCCAGTACTCCCGTCTTCCATCTTTAATCCATCGGTATACCATACTTGGGACCCTTTGTCAATCATAGATATTATCGCTTTACAGCGGTCCCTTTCAGAAATTCTGACCTCGTAGGGCTTGTCAAAGGATAGTTTCAGTAGCATGATATCTGTAAACTTGATAGCGGTATCATCCAGAAAAGGCTTGAGAGCCTCCAAGTGACCCTAATGATCCCCACTCTTCATGCTGATTTCATTGGGCAGCCGTAGGGCGCTCCAGCAGGCCTCCTTTTCAGAATAGATAGAGGAGGAATGCCTGTAATTATACCGAGGGCTCCTGTGATGGCCACACAGATCAAGCGGTGTAACCCTGAATTAGAAAAAAAAATAATTCCAAGCGACCCTAATTATAGCAATGTAGTTTTGTGGAACAATCCGTAGAGCTAAATGATTGATGAATTTTTTTAATCATAAAAGAACAGACGAGAAATATCTTGACGGTGACGTAACTTGGAAAAATGTTTGGCGCTTTTAACGTGGTCTTGAATGCTTGCCTTACCACCATTAGCAAATTTCCACATATCCTACAATGCGCTTCATGACCATTTTTGCCACAACCTAGAGATAATTTAGGTGGGCTGTCTGAAGTGAAGCCATTCTGAAAGACCTACCCAATAAGGATAAAAAGTGCTTCTCTGCATGCTTCCTAGAAATGGGTTTCCAATTTAAAATTTACGCGAATGTACTTAAGCATATGTTTATATTATTTAGCATTACAAATAGGATTCAATAATTATTTTAAATCTCAATAAAACATTTAATCTGAACCTTAAATATTTAAATTCCTTAAAGAATTATGACTTTTATGAACTAAAAAGAGCTTTAAAAGAACTTCTTCGATAGGCCTTTAGAAGTACGTCCTACAAAAGCCGTTCTGGAAGCTCTTCTTTGAGTAGCGAGAGCAGAAGCCCTTCAGTTTGTGCCACTCCGTACAAAAAAGAAAGGAGAAAGGAATGACTTTCAGAAAGAGATTTTAACTCCAGAAATTATCTACTGCGTAGTATGTGGGACCACTCAGCCGTGTGCCTGTTCAGGAACTTGCACTTTTTTGGCATTTGCCTGAAGATAAAAAACTAGATTTTAAACAAATAAACTAAACAGAAAGAAGGTAAACTAACCAGATATTGTTCAACATATTAGAAAAAATGTTTCATTATCGACTTTCGGCTACTAATGCTTTTTTTTCAAAGCAATGATGAGTGTCTGCATTGACCTTCATTAAAAAAGTTTAAGTGTGGACCTGGACACCAGGACAATTTGTTTAATTCAGGACAAATCCTGGAAAAGCAGGACGTCTGGCAGCCCTAATCTAAAGCCTCCTGCCAAGAGTTGAGGTGCATTAAAAACGCCCTTACGAACTTGTAGGCGATCAACATATTGGGCAGTAATTTTACTTAAGACGATTACGAAGGTATAGCAAGACTCTGTCGAGGGTGCTGCTGCTTAAAGAAAAATATTGAGCGGATTCCATCCTAAAAGCATCCCCAAAGGCACGAATAAACGTCCCCTTTCAGACACGTCAAGTCTTGAAAGCAATTTTTTTCGCATTCTCTTTTGTGTTTTCTATTTGCTTCCACACGCGTCAACTTTAATTGAATTCAAGTCCTTGGTTCTTTAAATGGAAAGCAACGAAAAGATAAAAAGAGACAAGAAAACTTGAAACGAATTGACGGTACGGAGGAATCTGTACTCTTCCCCTCTCCTCTCACCTCCTTCGCCTACGAACGAGCAGGCTTGAAAGCAAGACTTGACGTGTCTGAAAGGGGACAACCAGTTTTAATTAACCCTATAATCGACAGCGAAGCCAACCTTTGACAGTCTTCAAATACGCCACCAGAAAACGAAATACACATAGTCCTACTAGGGATTAAAAATATGAGAGGATCTTAAAAAGCATTCGCTTGTATGGTTAATTTTTAGTGAAGCTTACCATAGTCGATGTCTGGATGTACACTTGGGATGCGCAGATATTCACGAAATATTTCGATTTCCTTATCATTCTTCCAAGAGCTCATTTTCAACAAACGCCTACAATTGCATTTTTTAAACGTATTAAAAACAAAGACCCATATTATTTATTTGAAAACACTCTTAAATCATTATAGTAATGGCTTTTAAAAATGAATTCATCTAGCTTTGATTAAGCAGTTTATAAACAATTTTGTATTTCACAAGATAAGTCAGTGATGAAATGGATGGTAAAATTGTACTTTTTTGACAATTATTAACAATTCTCAAGTAAAGTAAACAACGCCTCAGAAATTCACAATTTTTTTTCTACCTCATAAAAGTAAATCGCCCCTATTCCGATTGTCGGAACGATAGTCGTTGATCGAAATTTGAGTTTTTCATTGGCGTCATGAGGCAACCAATGACATAATTTACAAAAAAATTTTATTCCTATTATCCTTTCGAAATGAAGAAGTATGGAAAATGTGTTAAAATCTGTCGTTAATATACGCAAACGTCAAGCTGTGAAGCTGTGTTTTTCTGTGATCTGTTTAAATTTTGTGTTTGATAAAGCTGTTTACGCTTATTAAAGTAAAAAATTAAAAAAAGTGTTAATAAACTTCTGGTGCACAATTTAAAGATAAGTAAAACATCAAAATTTCCCGTAGATTTGATTAATTTAACTTGATATTCTTAATTGCATGTGCCGAGTATTTTGTTTCATATAATATATTGTTGTTGTACAATTGTTTTTGTTTGTGCACATTGATTTTGCTCTTTTTGTCTTTTTGTCATTTCTGCTGTTTCATCTTTGTCACAGCTGTTTGCGTTGTGTTTATTAGGTGTCTAATATACAGTGCATTTAAAACTGTTCGCTAACTGATATTTACCAGCTGATTGGTTCACTGATTAATACATCGTTTTCAAAACCGTTTTTGCTTTTTTGCTTCTAAAACCTAAAAATAAATATAATTTTAAACATGTCGTGTATTTGCACCAATTGCCACGTTAAAAGCGACTCCTATGTGCCATGCTGGCTCTGCGATGGGATTGCCCATATAAAATGTGCTGGTTTGAGCGGTAGAGTATTAGACGCTATTAACGAGGGTAAGGGTCTTCGTTGGTCTTGTCAAAAATGTAGATCAACCGAAGTTGATTTATTTAAATTCTTCAGGCAGTCCAGAAATGGTTTTTCTGAGATCGGGAAGGATCTGTCGGCGCTTGTTGAGAAATTTAAGCATTACGAAAAAATTTTTAGATCTTTCACTTGTCTCGACGACCCTCCACACTCTGAAGATAGCCGTGAAAATAAAGGTGGGCATGTTATTAGTCCACCTAAAAAGACAGCCACGGATTCTGGTAAAAAAAATCCTCCATCCCAGTCCTTAGAACTTATTAATTTATCTTCTCCATGCCCTCAGGCATTGGAGCCTCCGATTTCTAAAGCCATATCCACTAGGTCTACTTCAAAAAATAGTCAAACCGTTGATTTAACAGTGTTGCCATCAACATCTCAAGCTCCACTGTCTAACTTAGTTCCTCCGAATAATTCGGAGCCCCGCACATCAGACATCATTACCAAAAAGTTGGTTGTAATTCCTCCGAGAAGATCAATCTTTGTCTCTAGATTTGCTAAAGATACTTCTTCGGATGATATAAAGTCATACATATCGACTAAAATTAGAACTAAAGATGTATTTATTCGTAAATTTAATTTTAAATACGATCGCGATATTTCATCTTTTAAAATTGATGTAGCTTCCGAAGATTTTGATTCACTACTAAATAGTTCATTTTGGCCGACCGGGGCGTTTGTTCGCGAGTTTGAGTATAAACCTAATAAAAGTAATAATAACGTAGCTAAAATTTCTAATCTTAATTCTGATTCAAAAAACTAACTCGCAAGTCTAATTTAAGTATTTACTATCAAAACGTTAGAGGTTTGAATACCAAATTAACTGACTTATATTTAAAAGGTTTTGACTGCAATTATAATATTATTTCCTTGACCGAAACATGGCTCAAACCTCATATTTTTTAATTCCGAAATTCTTCCAAATGAATATCAAATATACAGGAGTGACCGCGTGGGCAGAATCGGCGGTGGTGTTCTTTTTGCGGTGCATTCATCGATACCATCCGAGGAAGTTAGTCTTCCTGTCATTGAATATACCGAATTTAAATGTATACGTGTACAGGCTGGAAAGACTTATATTTATTTTGCTCTTTGCTACATCCCTCCTAATTCTGCCGTATCGGTATATATGCAGCTAGTTTCTTTACTTGAGACCGTAAATGCAATGCTTACGGCATCCGATTCTATGATTGTTTTGGGCGATTTAAATCTGCCACATATTTCATGGAACATCATTGACACCGATGTTGTACCAGTTTCATCTAGAGATAGTTACAATGTATTTCTGGAGGAAATGGCTGAACTATGCCTCAAACAAATAAATATATGTCCAAATAAGTTTGGAAAGGTCTTGGATCTCGTTTACGTTGATGATGTTCCGAAGGCCTCTATTAATCGGTGTGATCCCCTAGTTTTGCCGGAAGATGCATACCATCCTGCTCTTGAGTTAAACTACGAAATCATAAATGAAATACATAATAATAAGTCAAGTTCAAGTACTAGATATGTATATATAGAGATGACGTGGAGCGTTGCGTTGAGCACTTTAATGATACTGTTTTCAATTTGTTTCGAAAGTATGTGCCAATACGTAATATTGTTCATGAAGAACCAATACAATTATGGTTCACTAAAGAGCTTAAAAAATTGAAAAATAAAAAGTCGCACTCTTTTAAACTGTATAAAAGAACGGGCTTACACAGTGATTACCTAAGGTACTCAGTTTTGCGGCATAGCTACTTTGCATTAAATAAGAAATGTTATAATTCATATTTATGTAAAATTAAGAGGAATTTAATTAACAATCCTAAATCATTTTATGGTTTCGTAAATTCAAAGCGTAAGGCACATGGTTTTCCGTCCGCTATGCATTATCGCAACACTGTATCTAGCGACAGCCAACTCATTGCCAACATGTTTGCTCGGTTCTTTAGGTCCAATTATTCTGTAGACTTCCCTATAAGTGGAGACTATCCGTACGAGCTTTGTCCAATCAACTCTGCTTATATTCCAGTAATATCTTCCGATGAAGTTTTACACTCTTTAAAAACCTTAAAAGCGTCATTTAGGCCTGGACCTGATCATATTCCGACCTGTTTTCTTAAAAACTGCGCTGAGAACATCTGCGAGCCTTTAACAACTCTATTCAATTTGTCACTTAAACATGGCGTTTTTCCGTCAGCCTGGAAGGAGTCTTTCATAATACCACTTCACAAAAACGGCAGCAGGTCGTCTATAGAAAACTATCGAGGCATAGCGAAACTCTCCGCTATCCCCAAATTATTCGAAGCAATTATTGTTAACCAGCTGACATATTCTATATCTTCTTCAATTACACAATCTCAACACGGGTTTTCTAAAGGAAAATCTACTATTACTAATTTATTGGAGTTTACAACTCATGTCTCAAACGGTTTTAGAGAAAATGCTCATACCGACGTAATTTACACCGATTTCAGTAAAGCTTTTGACAAAGTATGTCACTCGTTACTCATCCGTAAACTCGACCTAATCGGCTTTCAGCCCAGTCTCCTTCAATGGATCTCATCTTACCTCTCTGATAGAACACAAAGAGTTATTGTTAATAATTGTTCTTCCAACATCATTAAAGTTTCTTCAGGAGTTCCTCAGGGAAGCCACCTTGGTCCGATTCTGTTCCTGATATTCATTAATGATATTTCTTCTATAATAAAACATTCAAAAATTTTAATGTATGCCGATGATGTGAAACTTTTTAAAACATTGTCCTCTATCGAAGAAAGGTCTTTGTTACAAGCGGATCTGAACAACGTGGTTAGTTGGTGTAATACAAACTATATGCCACTAAACCTTCAAAAATGTAAAGTTATGTGTTTCTCTCGGAGGGCTGTTCAACCAGCTGTTTATTCAATATCAAATTATAATCTGGAGCAGGTATCCAATTTTGTCGATCTTGGTATCACAATGGATTCCAAACTCAATTTCAACCATCATATTAATGTTACAGTCAATAAAGCCAAAGGCGTTTTTGCATATGTAAGGCGATGGTCAAAAGAGTTCAAAGATCCTTATGTTACAAAAGCTCTTTTTACCAGTTTAGTTAGACCTATACTAGAATACGGATCTATTGTTTGGAATCCCCGCTACCAAGTTCATTCAGAAAGGATTGAATCAATTCAAAAACAATTCTTGCTTTTTGCATTGCGTAATTTTAACTGGGATTCAGATTACAATCTCCCCCCTTACACAAGTCGTCTAAAGCTCATAAATTTGCCTACACTCGCAAGTCGTAGAGAAATGCTGGGTATAATATTTATCGTAAAATTAATGACAGGCTTGATTAATAGCCCGGCCCTCCTGGCTGAGGTAAATTTTAATGTTCCTTCTCGAGTGTCAAGACACTTTCGACCTCTATTTTTAAAGCCATGCAAAACTAATTTTGAACTAAACGAATCATTCCGTGGTTTATGTCAAGATTTTAACTGTCATTCCAGCACGTTTGACGTATCGGACTCGATTTTTACTATAAAGAAAACTATTATTTCCACTCTCAATAATTGAAATACTATCTTTAGCATATCCAATCAGCTGATGAATTTGATTCTGTAGCTGAATAGTTTTAGATCTCGACACTTAACAAACTCCTGTTTCCACTACTCGGCACGAAAAAACTAAAAAAAAAAAAAAGTTTCCGTACGTCATGCGGACTGCGCCCCTCGTGTCGGTTGGGCGGGAATGGAGGGTAAAAAGCCGTTGGGATTAATTAATTAAAATTAATGTTTTTATTTACAACATAATTCAACGAACGACTGTCGATTCGAACGACTTACGACAACCAGAATAGGGATGAATAACCTTACGGAAATTGTGAGCGGTGAGAGAATCAGTCTTACCAGATTTTCGTTTTGAATTTCTCAAAAATAAATGAACGCAAACATATTTTTTGCATGAATTTTTTTAATGTGGCATTTTAGGCGATATACTGTAAGCAGCTGAAAAAGAAAACACAAAAAAAAAAACATTTTCTCGCTTCTGGCTTAAGTTGACGCGTCGAGTAATCATTGATGATTACTTACGGTAAGTTAAATTAAGTTAAGTCTAGACTAACTGAGCTTTTACGCTGCCGAATTCACTCTCTTGCAATTTTTTTTTGGTTATGAACGCATTTCTAGTAAAAGCTTGCAAGTATTGCTAACAATGCGGAACAATTGTTTGATATTGAACTCACCTAATTGTAAACGACTTATTGTTAACTTATATATCGAATATAGGTATTTAACTTGTTTTTTCCAATGAAACTAATTATTTTACAAAATATTTTTGTGAAACTTTGATTGCATTAAATGCCACTGTTTTTTTTTGTTTCAGATTTCACAAAAAACATTTTATTTAGATAATTTTGCCTAACATAAAACTTTTACTTGTTCTTCTTCTGCTTTTTCGGCTGATTTAGTACATTTTTTATGGCCAATTTGGTACAAAAATTAAATTCTCATTTACCATCCCTGAGATGAGTGTGCACCTTTGAACGTTATCAGTAAATGTCACAAAATGCAATGCTTTGTTTACTTTTCTGAATGAGTTTAGTTTGATAGATAAACTATTTCTATTTTTTGCGGTCATTTCACTGAAAATTCTCCTCCATTTAACTAATGTAAATTTTATATGTTTATTTCACTTGTATTATCTTTATGACGCAAATTACATACTTGGCGGTACTGCCGTACTCTATTTTCCCACGAGCACAAATGTATGAAACAGACAGAAACTATTTAGCAATTACCTATGTAATTGAGTGAACTGTTAATACTGAGTGGTCAAAATGAATATTTCTGGTATTTAAGTAATCTAAAAGTTTTCGATAAAGCGATGTTAACCGCAAAATTTATTGAAAATATACTTACTACATACATATATAGTATACGTATATACGGTGACCATTCGTACCGATTTTGGCGGGACAGTAACGATTTTGAGAAAATTGTCCCGCTGAATATTTTTTAATAGTCGGAATGTATAAGCTTCCCGATTTGTCATATTTGTACCGATAAAATTCTGATTTTCAGTTTTTTATTAACCCTTTGAGGACTGATGCTGCTTACAGCTACGGTGACCATATTAATCAACGTACAATAGAGGACATTTTTTCAAAAGGATTTGGGACCACTTACATACAACTCAGAAAGGTACTTTTACCCATATAGTAATTTAAATCAAATATTTCCATTTATTATTGTACAAGTTCCCTTTCTTGACAGGCGCTGTAACCGGATATTAACCGATTCCGAAAAATTAAACCAAATCCTTATCAAGAACCTCGCCTTCCTTTGCTGCCAAAATGCGTTTATTATAATATATACTACACGGCGAAGCCAGTGGGGATTTATTGTTCAACAATGAATTTGACTCAAAGAATATTAAATTTTCTAGGAAAAGGTGCAAATAATATATAGTTTTTTTTTCGATTATATAAATTTCCCTTGTCAGTATTAGCAAGGATTCCTGATTTATAGATTGTACAAAGATTGCCAATTAAATAAAAACCCTTTAGTGGGGTGTGAAATAAACTAGCGTAGGTTTTTATAATATTTTATAACGGACATTTTTATTTTTTCTATTCTCTTTAAAAAATTACCTTTGAAAAATCCAAGTCTGATTTAAAGTACAGTTTAAGAAATAAAGGGCAGGGGTTAAAATAAAGGACGGATGGTCGCCGTACTTATAGATAACATTGACATTGATTGGCCCTTTCTCTTTTCGCGTTTGATTCCAAAATAAAGCCAACGGTGAGAAAATTATGTGTTCGTTTCTTAAAATGCCACACTCTTGTAAGGAGATAAAGACGAATTCTGTGCTCTTTGAAGCTTTATCAGGGGAGATGGTTGCCCTGAAAATCAGATGGCTGCTTAAAGTGACAATATATGAAATGCGTGAGCTAGATAAGGACAACAAAGGCAAAAACATGCCCTTTTTGCACTGTGAAGTTTGTCGACGCACTCTCCTACACAAACGCGAATTTGTTTCACATTCTTTACTACAACCACAAAGCAGCTGGTCTAGCAGTAGTAAAACTGTTGCCATAAATTAAAAATTACTACCGCTTAGTTCCAAAATTTTAGTGAAAGTTTGAAAAATTTCTCTGCACCACTAGTATACTCTAGCTGCTAGCGGCAGCTTTGGGAAGGCCTGCTCCAGAATGTTACGAAGGCAAAAAGCTGAACCTCTCGCCACAATTATAGAATCAATTAGTTTTCAGCACCTTTTCGTTGCGACTACTTGCTTAAAGTAGTTCTGCAACATTAAACAAGTAAGAAAGTCTAAGTTCGTGCAGAGCCGAACATTAAAAACCCGGCGCAAGTATTAAATATGTATATGTTTTTCACCTTTCCGAAAGCTACCGCTAGATGGTAAGCCGGGGTATATCAATTTTGAGTACATTAGCGTCCTTAAATTTCGAACTATTGAAGTTCCAGGCATTTCTAAAATTTACCGTTATATGAAAAGCGGCCGTAATTTTAGTCAGATTTCAATAATTTTCAACGTCTTGCTTTTATGTGGCAAGCACAATAACCATACCGAGTTTGGTACAAATTGGTAGAACGCCCATTTTCCAAAATTTTATCATAAACGTTTTTTTTTTGGTAAAGAATTGTTGCAAGCATCAATTTTGAATAAATTGGCTTTGATACTTACTGATTTATCGAGGATTTTATATTTCTCTAAATTACCGTTATATGGGATGTGAGCGTAGTTAATGTCCGATTTTAAAAATTTTCGGCCATTTGATACGGTGTACCAAGGCCAACAACTGTGCAGCGGTTACCAAGATATACACATGTACCCATAAGTGGGCGTGGCTACGCCCATTTTCCAAAAATGTATAATATTCTTATTTTTCGTCTAAAATTTATTTTAAATATCAATTTTGAGTGAATAATCTTCAGTAGTTACGAAAATATCGCAGTTTTCGTATTTCTGAAAATTACTGTTATATGGGAAGTGGGTGTGGTTACAATCCGATTTCGCCCATTTTTAATACCAACCTACCTTGAAGAAACGGAAGCCTACATACCAAATTTCGTTGTGATATCTCAATTTTTGCTCGGGTTATCGTGTACACGGACGGACGGACAGACAGACATGGCTTAATCGACTTCTTTATTCATTCTGAGCATTTATGTATACATTTGTCTATATCTATCTCGATTCGTTTTGGCTGTTACAAACAACCGTTATGTGAACAAAGTTAATATACCCCTGTGCACAAGTGCGCTCGCTTATAAAAAAATACACATATCTAATAAATTTTTTTTTTTTTTAATAAAAGGGTTAGTTTACAAAATATCATTCTTGATTCAAATTGTTCTAAACGTTTTTATAATTATTACTAAAGTTGTTTTTTTCAATCAAAAATATTGGTTCCCTCAAAATATTCATGGATATGAAATATATACTTTTGCGATCATTTTTCTAGTTTTTTCTCTTTCTTTTGTCTTTTTATTCTAAAAACAAAATTGTATGTTCGGTTTCGATGCTTGTCCACAGAAGTCTGGTCACCGTAGATATATACGCACATATATATATAGGCATACGTATTGCGCGTATATTTTTTTCGGACAAAAACTGTATATTGCTGCGAAAAAGTTCTGTTTCGCGGTATCTCCATTTAAGAAAAAAAGCTTTTTTATAGTAGAGTATTTTTTGAAACAGTAGGGCAATTCATCTAACCGCGTAAATGCCTCGTAACCACGTAACCCACGATCCAGAAAATAAAGGTCGCGCCATTCGCGGACCGCTAACCCTCTCATCGTCGATTTGACAGCATCCACCCAATCGCTGACGTCATAAAATACTTTTGTTTACATTCACTGTTGCCAACTTAATGCTTTTCGCACCAAATTTAGTGGGTATTCAAAACCCGAACATTTTTGAGTTTGGTGCTTGGTGCGTTTTTGGTGCTTTTGTTTTTAGTTTGAAGACACCAAATTATAAAATCTTAAAAAAATGGAAGCAAAATTTATAGCAATCATAAGCGTGGTAAGCAACTTCACAAAAATTTTAATAAAATCATGGCACAATCATAAGCGACAACAAAATATGTGGCAGCAACTTCAATCAAGCCAGAAAAAATCGACCGTCGTGCAAGAAACATTGATTTTTATTAATTTGAATCGGCATCCTTACAATATAATTATGTATGCATATAAAGTCCATAAAATACACCAATAAATATTTGGTGCTTTTTCAAATTGAAAACTTGGCAATACTGCCTTTTGTTCGATGCTTCCTCTTTTTCTTGTCGAGTTCGTCTTGCTCTCTCATACTGGTATTTATTGACGTCACGGCCAGTTACTCTCAGCTCGATTGGCGCAATCTTGTATTCTATCATTCTTGCACGTAACCCTCATAAACTTACTTAGTTTTGTATGGAAAATCGGTTCATTTACGAGGTTTGCGCGGTTGTACACCCCGCGACAAAATTATACATCTGACAAAAGACATGTAAATCTAAAAATTTAAAAAATTCAACAAAGTTGCACAACAACCATTTTCTAGTTTGAAGTTTATACCATCGAATTTTTATGATTTTTATTTTCTGACGGTGTCACGCATTTTCTTCCATACAAAGTTACCAAGTTCGAAATTTTTTTTTGTATGACAAAAAATACATTGAAAGCTCCAATAAGCGTAAACCAATGGTCACTTACCTACTTTTTGTCCGCCTTTGACAGATGTCCGATAATGGGATTGTCCCAAAAAAATAATATTACATATAATTCATATTTAAAAAATTTAAATTGCAGATTTCTAATTTAAGACAATATTTATTCTTCAATAGCAAAAAAAAGAATAAGTAAAAAATAAATTCAAATTTATGGCGTTTTCCTTTCTACCGACTAATTTCGTTGTCCGCTTCGGTCAAATAGCAAGAAGAGGGCAATGAAAAGGCAACATATTTCCTAGAAAAGAAAACACTAATTGATGGGAGATTTTGATAACTAGACATGACTATAGGTCCGCGTCCGTATATCGGAAAGTCCGTTGTACGAAAAAAAAACACAAATTGTTCGTTCCCAAGAATGCGTCCGCATATAGGAGATGTACGATTATCAGATTCCGTCTATGAGAGCTTTCACTGTAATAACAGCGTTGGCAAAAAAAATAAAAATTCAACGCGAATTCTTGGACCCTTGGAATTTGCACTTTATTATACTAAAATTTAATCGGCTACAAAACTGCATACTTAGATGTAAAATTATGAATAAAAAGTTTGTTGTGAAAATTTTTCGAATTTCTCTGCAAAGTTTGAAATGTGGATTTGTATGTTGTTTAGGTATGGTAGATGTGTAATAAGATGGACTTGAAAATTATGCCGGCTACATAATTTTGAAAATGGGGTTGGTGACTAGGTTTCCGAACACATGAAGAAAGTGATCAAAATTATATCCCATATCGTCGTTTAAAGTACAAAACCGCGTATTGTCGTACTG